AATTCCAAAACCAAGGATCCGGATCCCGAGAATCCCAAAACCAAGATTCCGGATTCCAAGATTGCCAAAGCCCCGCCTCCCGTTTGGGAAGAAGTAAAGGGACTTACCCACTGAATTAGTCTGTTAGAAATCGAGGCCACGAAAATCTTTGCCATTGGTCTTTGATTCACACTCTAAATGTGTAAGCAAAAAGATGTAAAAGTTAATTTTTGTGAACTAATCAACTGACTCATCTGGTAATAAAACACATTCAGTTGCATGTTATTCCGTACGCGTTCTTTAAGTGCGGAGTTTGTAATGCCACAATTACATCACGGTAAAAACATCGTTCACATACTGAACTAGAATTGTACAATTCCTAATATAGATCTTATGCAACACGAGGATAAGCTATGCTCTTGAGCGAGTGCTTTCACAACACTAGAGAGGTTTAGCATCGCGTTTACATGAAAGATAGAATGAACCTTTCTGCTTTAGATTTGTGTCACTTCGGCATGTGAATGATGTTAAACATGAAACTTCATTTTCCCTTGTATGACTTACAGGAAATAGTTTTGGTGTACTTTTTTCCGACAATTACCCTCTACTCTGAAAGAATAAGGGAAGAAAATCTTACGAATAAGACAAACGCGAAACAGCTACTTTCAAATAGAAATGGCAGAGCGCAACCAGTACTCAAAAAAAAGGGGCAAAAAATGGGGAAAAACGTGTTACGTTTCGCACAAACACCGTTCTAAATCTTTCTAATGAACGCGAGTGAGTGGGCCTCGTAGTTACTCTGGCGTTACAATTGGACGTACACGTTGCTTACACTGAATAAGACGAATGTTGCAATGCACGCATGCGCGAGTTGATCCCAAAGAAAAGGACAGCTATGTGACGAACTAGTCTTAAATAGGTTTTCAAGCAAGTTGAGGGAGAAAAAAGTTAGGCTAAGAATCTCTTGTGATAATCCTCGAACTTGATTCTCGAAAATTCAAGGATTAATAATAGCAGTTTTCAGTAAGGCACAGGCCGGGCAGGAAAACTGGGGGAATACAATCAGCACAAGTCCAATACAAGACATGAACAGTTTTAGAAAGCAGTTCCGACTGGTTCTATAGTCCAATTTATGTTTTACGAGCGTTTTCCCCACAAGAATGGCCTCACCTGATGATCATTTTTTCATTACTGATCCAAATTGCAAAACTGAAGGTTACTAAGACAAGATCACCGCAAACATATGCGAGCAGAGTCTTCGTGCCGTACCATAAACTCCTGAGGTAGCGCAGATCCGGCTAGGCTCTCCCTTTTTAGAAGCAAATTTACGGGAGACAAATATTGCTGTTCTTTCATTAATTAGTTAATCTTGCATTCGGGGGACACCCTCGTGATCGCAACAAGATAAAGGCAAAGTCTGTACTCGAGCCTAGTGCCCACCCAGCCGGTGTTTATCTCGGTTTCCTTAGCATGAAGTGACAAGAAGTATTACAACTAACCCCCTGGATGGGATGCTTGTTCATCGCAAGGTTACC